GCGCCCCCTCCCGCTGCCACCCCCGTGCCCCCCCCCCATCATCCCATCACCCTCTGACCCGCCCCATAGCGCTGCATCGCCCCTTTCCGTGCCGCCCCGTTGCCGCCCGCCCCATAACCTGGTCACCCCGTAGAACCCTGATGTCCCCTTCCTCCCACTGCTGTCACCCTGTAGCTCCCCGCTGCTCCTCCCAGTGCCACCCCCCCCCACCCCCTCATCCCCCCCATTGCACTCCATTTCACCTTTCCATTCCGCCCCATTGCCGCCCGCCCCATAACCTGGTCACCCCACAGAGCCCCGATGTCCCCTTCCTCCTATTGTCACCCCATAGCCCTTTACTGCCCCTCCCGGTGCCACCCCCGTGCCACCCCCCCCCGCCCCCTTGCCCCCCCCCCCCCCCCCCCCCTCCAGTGCGCCTTTCCGGGCTGCCCCATTGCCGCCCACCCCATAACTTTGTCACCCCACAGCCCCCCTCTGTCTCCTCCCAGTGCCACCCAACCCATCCCCGCCCCCCACCTCCCCTCTCGCCCCTCCCCACGCCGCCCCGTTGCCCCCCGCCGCCCCGCTCTCAGCCCCTCAGTGCCACCCTCCCGCTGTCCCCGCACCCCAGACGTGGCGGTTGGCGCCCCATACGGCGGTGACGATGGCAGCGGGGCGGTGCTCATCTTCCGGGGGCAGCGGGAGGGGCTCAGCCCGACCCCAGCGCAGCGCCTCAGCAGCCCCTTCCCCGGCCCTGCCGCCTTCGGCTTCGCGCTCCGTGGTGGCACCGACATCGATGGCAACGGGTACCCAGGTACGGCCACGACACCCCGACATGGCCGTGGGAACCCTAATATGGCTGTGGGAACCCTAATATGGCCATGGGTACCCTAATATGGCTGTGGATACCTTAATATGGCTGTGGGTACCTTAATATGGCTGTGGGTACCCTAATATGGCCATGGGTACCTTAATGTAGCCATGGGAGCGTTAGTATGGCCATAGGTAACCCTAATATGGCCATAGGTACCCTAATATGGCCATGGGTACCCTAATAGGGCCACAGGTACCTTAATATGGCCACAGGTACCCTAATATGGCCACAGGTACCCTAATATGGCCATGGGTAGCCTAATATGGCTGTGAGTACCTTAATATGGCTGTGGGTACCCTAATATGGCCATGGACACCCCAGTATGGCCATGGGAACCCTAATGTGGCCATGGGTACCCTAATAGGGCCACAGGTACCTTAACATGGCCATGGGTACCTTAATATGGCTGTGGGTACCTTAATATGGCCGTGGGTGCCCTGGCACTGGGCACAGCTGTGCCACCCCCATGAGCCCCCATGTATCCTCACCCCTCTGTGCCCCACAGATCTGCTGGTCGGTGCTTTTGGGGTCTCCATGGTGGCCGTGTACAGGTGCGTGCTGTGGGGTCGGGGGGCTCTGCCCCATAGCGGTGGGTGCTGATGGCGCCGCAATGCAGGGCGCAGCCGGTGGTGGTGGCCCAGGCGCAGCTGAGCGTCCCCAGCGGGCTGAACCCACGGGTGACAGAGTGCGTCCTGCCAGGGAGTGACAGCCGTGTCACCTGGTGAGAGGGGACACCACTATGGGACACTGCTATGGGACACTGCTATGGGACATGGCTATGGGAC